AAGGACTCCCGGGGCCGGATCCTCATGCGGCCGCCTGACCTGTGGAGGAGGAGGGGGGAGAGGGTGGGGTTAAATACTGGGAAAAATAACGGAGATGGCGAGAAAGGGGAGAAGGAAGAGGATGAGGAAGGTAAGGGAGAATGAGAGACATAGAGGATTTTTCTACACACACGCACCACACACACACACACACACACACACACACACACACACACACACACACACACCACACACACACACACACACACACACACATATATATATATATATATAAAGAGAAAGAAAGAGAGAGAGAGGGGGAGAGAGAACGAAAGAGAGAGCGACAGAGAGAGGAAGAGAAATCGGGAGGAAAGCGTGTGAGAAAAACCAGAAAAAGGAATAAAATATCCTCAGCGGTTCCCTGATCACTCGAATCCAACGGGAGAGAATCCTAACCCGCAGTCGGGATCGGCAGAAGGAATCCCGTCATGAACGCTTTACTCAGTTATTCATCCCTTGAAAAATTAAAGCATTCAATCGCCCTTAAGTGATCCCCGACAAGACCAAACACCGACTTAAATACTGTATCTTTATTCCCTTTTATATCGCTAAATCAAATGCGTATGATGATTCGACAAACAGAAGATATTTACACTGCTGCTCATCGCCCTGATATTAAATTCTGCTTCATAATGGGGCGGTAGGGGGGGAGGGGGAGGGGGAAGGAAGAATTAGTAATGCCTGTGTAGTCTGGCATAGCGGCGGGGCGAGTGGAGGGAGGGGAGGGGGGGAGGGTAGCTACTGGGGTGATTGGGGTTTCGGATAGTTTGTGGGAAAAGTTGCAATGATGGTTTGGGAGTATTGGGGCGGCGTGGGGAACGGACGCGTTTCGTGTCTGTGTTTGTCTGCGGGGCCGTGTGGCATGCGTGTGCTGGGAGTGAAGGGAGGCATTGGAGGGGAGTGAGTGGAGTAGCTTTGAGCTTTGAAGGTGTCTCACGGCTGTATCTATGCTGTATGTGGGTTTGTTATGCTGTATGTATGTTTGTTTGTAAGCATATGCATATAATCCCAATACAGACACACACACACACACACACACACACACACACACACACACACACACACACACACACACACACACACACACACACACACACACACACACACACACACACACACACACACACACACACACACACACACACACACACACACACACACACACATAATATATATATATATATATATATATATATATATATATATATATGTATTTATATATATATATATGTATTTATATATATATGTATATAATATATATATATATACACCCACACCCACACGACATCCCGCTTTCGGCTGGTCATTAGCAATGAAAACTGCAGACATAGAAAGAGCGTTGCCGTCACATGAGCCTCCAGTCAATTATCGGCGATCAAACGCCAGCGGTACACATGCATTACATCCTACATCAAAGAATCTGAAACCGCAATTAACTTCGTCATTCTGAATGCAAATAATAAGCTTCGATCCTATGCCGATGTTATTCTTTTTTGGTATCTATTCTGCGTTTATTTTCCCCGCGCGTGCGATTCCATATCACTTTTTTGGTCCTTTATGGTGTACGAATAGAAGAAGTATTCGATAAATGGATGAATGAGATACGAAGCTACGAATACAAGGGTTTAGATTCCTTTTCATAACAAAAACAGGACAAATAAAAGCATCCACTACAGAGGAGCTGCAGGGACGCTGTTGCATACAATTTTCTCAAGACAAAACCAAAAGGAAGTACCCACTTGGAAAATAAATATCAGTCCTTTGAAGAATCAGATCTTTGATTCTTCCTCCTCAAAGCACCCGAGATTTTCCCTTTCCCCTTCACCCCCCCCACTTTCTGTCCCCCTCTCTCCCTCTCCTGCTTCTCCCCTTTCCTTTCGTTAGATTGTTTTTTTTCTTTTATTTGTCCTTTATTCTTTGGAGTGTCTTTCACGCCTCCCCTCTCTCTCTCTCATTTCTACCTTTCGCTTTTTTCTTCTTTCTTTAAATCTTTGTTGTATTTCTTTCTCTGACTGCTTATCTCTCTGTCTCTCTCTCTCTCCCTCTCTTTCACACACATTCTCTCTTTCCCTCCTCTCTTAATCTATCTCTCATTTCTCTTTTTCATTTCTCAATCTTTCTCTCACTTCTCCATTCTTTCTCTCTCTATCCCCCTCCTCCTCTCAATCCTTTCACTTCCTTCCCCCTTCTCCCTCCTTCCATTTCCCTTCCGCAACTCTCTTTCTCCCCTACCCTTCCCCCTCTCCCCCTCTCTCCCTCTTCCGTCTTTCTCTTTGAAGTATTTTCAGCAAACCTTACGTTCATATCCGGCAATGGAGTGTTTAAGGAGAAACACTCCTACAGAACGTGTACTTGTATGTCTGTGTATGTGTGCGTGCGTGTGTGTGTGAGAGTGTGAGTGTGAGTGAGTGAGTGAGTGAGTGAGTGAGTGAGTGAGTGAGTGAGTGAGTGAGTGAGTGAG